TCCTTCTGGGCATCTGTAGGTGTACTAAAGTTGTTCGCTCGGTACATTGTCAAACTTATGACTATTGCTATATTTTGTTTCATAGGCTCGGTTATCTATCCTTATGAATTTACTACATCTAGGTAGGTCATACTATACCATAACACATACTTCAGTTTGTTATTACCGAGGTTTTCTACCCAACTCTAGGTTACTTTCTCGCTGCATAACCTATATGTATAAATCTAAGCCCTTTAATGCTTCCTCATTACTGTTCATCTTAAGATGACAGCCTAATCTCATCTCATACTTTGGAACTTTTATCCATCTATTGTTAATCCACCTTAAGGTTGATCTATAATCTATCACTGATAACTTGACACCTCTTACGTAACACATTGTCACTAGGGCTCACGTCTCATCAGGGAACATCTAATACAGCTATATATATAAGCTTTTGGGTATGTTTACCCCACAGATGAGAGAGATGTTTTTTTTAGATGATTCTGAATATGGCCTCATCGGCCTAAGTTTAGGGTTACCCCACCAAAGTTCACAGTTGCAGAGTGGTACGCTCAGGTCGAGTATGGTACCGAGTACCGGCCATGCCTCTTCAGGTTTGGGGCATGACAGGTGCGCCAAGAATCGGACATGGCCAAACAGGGGAATAATCAAGTTCGAGAAAATTGAAGAACCAAGGCTAAAGGAAAGGCGGTTAGAAAGGACAAATGAGAGGCTGAAATATCCGTCCTCAACCGGATATTATGGCACAAATCTCGCCCGATATCAACTGTGTATCACGTTTTACTAGAAGAGAAATCTCCCCTGCGTTTTTGGAACATATACAAGGGGATATTCCTGGACCTATTCACCCACCTAGTGGGTCATTCAAATATTTTATGGTCTTAATAGATACATCTTCTAGATGGTCTCATGTGTGCCTATTATCATCTCGCAATCTGGCATTTGCAAAATTAATGGCACAAATAATCCGATTACGGGCACAGTTCCCCGATAATCTAATTAAGTCTATTCGACTTGATAATGCTGCTGAGTTTTCATCACAAGCATTTAATGATTATTTCCTAATAAATGGGATAAAAGTGGATCATTTTGTAGCTCATGTTCACACTCAAAATGGCCTTGCAGAATCTTTGATTAAACGTTTGTAATTGATAGCAAGACCATTACTCATGAAAATGAGGTTGCCCACTTCCGTTTGGGGTCATGCCATTTTGCATGCGGCAATGCTAGTTCGTCTCAGACCGGCAAATTATCATAAGTGTTCCCCATTACAATTAGTTTTGGGTCATGAACCTAATATATTCCATTTAAGAATTTTTGGATGTGCAGTATATGTGCCTGTAGTACAACCATATCGCACAAAGATGGGTCCCCAAAGAAGTTTAGGCATATATATTTGGTTTGAATCGCCCTCAATTATTCGCTACCTCAAAAAATTAACGGGAGATTTGTTCGCCGCTCAATTTGCAGATTGTCGATTCGATTCGACATTTTCCCCAAAATTAGGGGGAGAAAATGGTGAAACCAAATGGAAAATTTTGTGGAAAAATCCATCATTGTCTCATCTTGATCCATGTGCCTTTATTTGTGAAAAAGAGGTACAAAAGATTATTCATTTACAAAAAATAGCAAATCAAATGCTAGACGTATTTACGGATCTGAAAAGGATAACAAAATCACATATCCCTGCAGAGAATGTTCCAATCCGTATTGATGTCCCTATTGGACAATCTTCGAGTGTCATATCTAATGAGTCAAAAGCACGCCTAAAGCATGGCAGACCATTAGGTTTTAAGGATCAAAATCCTATAAAAAGAAAAATAAATGACCAAGATGACACAATGAAAGAGTCTCATAAAGAAATACATGATTTAACCAATCCTGAGATTCATGAGGAAATCACTAAGCCTGAGACTCACGAAAATAAGGAACTATCAATAAATCCAATCGATATTGAGATGGATTTGAATTGATTGGATATAGTGGTGGATTATGTCTTTGCATATAATGTTGCATCTAGCGTTATGCAAGATAATGAGGATCTTGAACCTCAATCTATTGGAGAACGTTGATAAAGATGTGATTGGCCAAAATGGCAAGAAGCAATTCAATCAGAGCTGAATTCACTTGCAAAACGTAAAGGTTTTGGGCCTGTAGTTCAAACACCTAGTGATGTTAAGCCTGTTGGCTATAAATGGGTCTTTGTACGTAAGAGGAATGAGAAAAATGAGATACAAAGATATAAGGCACGCCTTGTTGCACAAGGATTTTAAAAGCCTAGTGTCGATTATGAAGAGATATATTTACCTGTTATGGATGCAATAACCTTTCTTTATCTCATTAGTTTTTCTGTCCATGTAAAGTTTGACATGCATTTAATGGATGTGATTACAGCCTACCTTTATGTCTCACTTGATAATGAGATATACATGAGAATTTTCGAAGAATTTAAAATGCCTACCGCACATAATTCAAAGTCCCGAAAAATATTTTCAATCAAATTGCAAAGATCTTTATATGGTCTAACACAACCAGGACGAATGTGGTATAACCTCCTTAGTGAGTATTTATTAAAGGAAGGTTATATGAATGATGTCATTTGTCCATGTGTTTTTATAAATAAAACAACATCGGGGTTTATTGTACTTGCCATATATGTTGATAACATAAACCTTATTGGAACTCCTACAGAACTCCAAAAGGCAATTGATTATTTCATGAGGGAATTCGAGATGAAAGATCTCGGAAAGATAAAATTATGTCTCGGTTTGCAAATTGAACATTTGGCAAACAGAATTTTTGTTTGTCAATCTGCCTACACAGAAAAGGTATTGAAATAGTTTACATGGATGGATCACATCCGTTAAGTACTCCAATGGTTGTTCGATCGTTGATGTGAATAAGGATCCGTTCCGACCTCAAGAAAAGAATGAAGAGCTTCTTGGTCCTGGAGTACCATATCTTAGTGCAATTGGTGCACTAATGTATCTTGCTAATACTACAAGGCCTGACATAACTTTTTCAGTTAATGTCTTAGCAAGATATAGCTCTGCTCCTATAAGGAGACATTGGAACGAAATCAAACACATATTATGGTATCTAAAAGGGACTACCAATATAAGCTTATTTTATGGAAATGATTGCAGTCCCGATCTTGTTGGTTATGCCGATGTTGGATATTTATCTGACCCACACAAGACTCGATCTCAAATAGCTATGTGTTTACATGTGGAGGCACTGCCATATCTTGGTGATCGACTAAGCAATCAATCGCGGCTACTTCATCTAACCATGCTGAGATAGTTGCTATGCATGAAGCAAGTCGAGAATGTGTGTGGTTGAGGTCTATACTACATCTTGTTCGAAAAAAAATGTGGTTTGAAGTGTGATAAACTACCCACAATTTTGTATGAAGACAACGCAACATGCATAACCCAATTGAAGGGAGGATTCATAAAAAGAGATAGGACAAAGCACATTTCACCAAAGTTATTTTTCACACATGATTTTCAAAAGAATGGTGATATTAATGTGCAACAGATTTATTCAAGTGATAATATGGCTGATTTGTTCACCAAATCTCTACCAGCGTCAACCTTCAAGAAGCTAGTATATAAGATTGGGATGCAAAGACTTAAAGACGTGAATTGATGCTCTCATCAGGGGGAGGGGGGTTAAGATGTGTTGTACTCTTTTTTCCTTACAAGGTTTTGTCCCACTAGGTTTTCCTTGCAAAGTTTTTAACGAGGCAACCAAAAGGAATATTACTAAACATGTGTACACTTTTTCCTTCACTAGAATTTTTTTTCACTGGGTTTTAGTTTAGTTAAGATTTTAACGAGGCACATTACCTACTGAATAGACATTCAAGGGAGAGTGTGATGAATAGAATTGTACTTAGAGTGAATGTCTATCTTTTAGAGAATTTTTAGAGTTTGTTACTGTGTGGCTAAATCACTCTTCCCCTATAAATAAAGGATTTTATCTCGCTGTAATTTTTCTTAAAACCAATATAATTCTCCATTTCCTTTCTTTGCAATATTCTTCTTTTCTTTTATTGTTTTATTTCAATTTTGGATTAGTTCTAAAATATACAAAATGTTCTAGGATTTACAGAAGTTGAAAGTAGCAAAAATGAGGATGTTGAGGTGGATATGTGGGCACACTAGGATGGATAAGATTAGGAATAGAGATATTCGGGAGAAGGTGGGCGTGACTCCTATAGATGACAAGATGCGGGAAGCGAGGCTCAGATGGTTTGGGTATCTACGGAGGAGAAACCCTAATGCCCCGGTAAGAGGTGTGAGCGGTTGGCTTTGCCGGGTACGAGAAGAGGTAGAGGGCGGCCTAAGAAGTATGGAGATAGGTGATCAGGCAAGACATGGCGTGACTTCAGATTTTCGAGGACATGGCCCTTGATAAGAAGGTGTGGAGATCGAGCATTAGGGTTGTATTTTAGGAGGTAGTTGAACATTTTTCTACTTCGTTCCGGGTGTGAGGCTAGTCTGATAGGGTTTGTCTTAGATTGCTAGTGGTTAATGTTGTGTTCACACTATTCTCCCATTTTTCATAGCACCGGGCCTTATTTACTGGTTATTGTTATTGCGTTTCAACTATTTTCTGGTTCTTATAATGCTGTTATTATTTCTATGATTTCTGTTGATGGTACTGATATATTGTCTTTTTCGTCTTTTTCGTTTTCTCGAGCCCAGGGTTTATCGGAAATAGCCTCTCTACTCCATCGGGGTAGAGGTAAGGTGTGCGTGCACACTACCCTCCCCATACCTCTTACCTGTGTAATTTTACTGGGTTGTTGTTGTTGTTGTTATTCTAGGCTTTACTAGAGTAGGATGTATTACATGTACCAATAACGATTGTGGTTGAATGATAATTATTAAAAAAAAAAGAGGTGTAGTTACATGTAAGGATGAGTGGAATTTTATGATATTTTGGCAATTCTCATGGGTCATCTTACAGTTTTCGTCTTTAGTTTTTAAAAGTGATAAACATCATACGGATTAGCCACACACATTTTCCATATCAGCAATCAACCAAGAAATGGCAATTCCTAGCGTCTGCTTGTGTACCAAGCTCCCTCCAAATCCAAATAAACTTCAGAGTCCTAACCTGTTCTCACTAACCCATCAATCTTCTTCTTTCTCTCCACAGGTAAATATTCCCAATTGATTCAAAGTCCTTACTCCAGTACAACTTAGCCAATTGTGCTTGAATTTCTTTTTAAAGGTAAAGTAAGTCAATCGTGCTCGAATTTATCACAGGTTTCTCTGGATTCAGTTGAGAGTTCGAGAAATGCATTGGTTTCTTTTGGTGAATCAATATCAAGAGCAAGCTTTCTAGCTCTTCTCTCTGCTTCACTCTTCTTGGCCTCGGATCCTGCTTTAGCGTTTAAGGTATTCAACCCATTTTATTTGGTTTGTTCCAAGCTCAAAATATTGATGAATGAATTGGTGGGTTTTCTTTGTTTCTCATATGGGTTTGACGCATAATGTGTGTTAATCAAGGGTGGAGGTCCTTACGGTGCTGGAGTGACTAGGGGCCAAGATCTTACAGGGAAGGATTTTAGTGGCAAAACTTTGATCAAACAAGACTTTAAAACGGTAATAATGTGGTTTTATTCACACTACTTTCTTTTTGCTCTTGTACCATTTCATATGATTTATTGATTAACGCGTGAATTTTAAAGGTTATCTTGATATTTACTGGTTGCTGTTTGATTGTACGACTAAGAATGCATATGGTGTTTATGTGAGTTTGTCACAGTCAATACTCAGGCAAGCTAATTTTAAAGGTGCAAATTTAATTGGAGCTAGCTTCTTTGATGCCGATTTAACAGGCAAGTTCATCATTCTTTACATTCCATTTCCTGGTTTAGTGTCGAATCCTAGCAGACAAATATGCAGTTGGTAATGTAAGTAATAATCTGATCTGCGGTTTTTTGATATTGCTCATCGAAGGAGTAATCCATCTGATGTAAGCACTAGTACCCATTTGACAAACTAATTCTTCCCACTAACTTCAACGATAGAGAATCAAATGGAAAACGATAACCACCATCGAATGGAACACCAGCTAAGAAGATTCTGGAAATGTGTCCTGGTGAAAAGTTAGAAGAAACATCAGAAAGAAAGGTGTGTGTGTGTGTGTGTGGAATATAAGAATCCCCTTTAGGGAGAAGCAGGAAGAGTCATAAAAACATATAAATTGAGGTAGCAGAGCAAGACCTGCAGAAACTTATTTAAGAGAATTCTAGAAGATGATCCTTTTTTAAAAGAAAATCTGCAATTTGTATGCAATTGTGAAATGTATCATTACCATCATCCCATTCATCTTCTTATTTTAAACAACACTTTTTTCAGGACCATATAGGAAATAAAGAAAGTAATCCTTGTACTAATTTGAATCTTTATTATGAAATCCAGGCTTCATTCAGTGCATCCATGTTCCTGATTATGTAATTCACTTTATATTCTGTAACAGCATGAATCACTGTCTTAAACGGTGATGCTATATGAAATGGAAGGAAGGATGTTATATAAGTTCAAATTTCTCGTAAAAGGCTGGTCATGACTTGGTGTTGGTGCTTGTTTCATTGGTGCTTCCCGAAACTGAAGGCTCTTGAATTTTCACCTAAATATCCATTATGTAATATTCCCTTTATATGGCCAGGGGCTGATCTTTCAGATGCTGATCTTAGAGGGGCTGACTTCTCCTTAGCAAATGTGACAAAGGTGAGCGGCTCATTGATTGATTCCATGATCAATACGTTAGTGTTGTCCCTTTGGCTTTGTGGAGAGAAAAATAGCTGCATCAACACAGACCTAGGATAGGTGTCCTACTAACTGCTTGCCACTTTGCAGACTTAGGTAACCGGGGAAATTAAAAGATTGTTAGTCCTACTTGATTTGGATGATTTTTGTGCTGAAGACTTTAGGTTCTCGGAATGGCAGGCTTAGCGGCCCACAAAATGCCCTGTTAGTGAGAAGTGATTCGTTGTTTTAAGAAAGTACTTTTGAACTACTGGCACATCTTCTACTTCGACAAGGCGTGCAAAAGGAAAAAAGCAGGAAATTACATCCAATGACTAGGGATGGCAATGGGCGGGGCTGGGCGGGTTGAAATAAAAAAATTTAAATTTTGTGCGGGTTCAGGTTAGAGCTTAAATTTTTCACAAAATTATAACCTTTCATGACGTCTTCGGTCTACTTTTGAGATATTAAGTTTCTGTCAAAGTATGTTTGTCTGCATTAGAAAGGTTTTCTGGATAACATAATAAACAATCCTAAATTTATTAGCCTAATTCGTAATTTTTTTAATAAGTAATTCGTAACAAAAAATTTACAATGCCTTATTACATGTGTGCTGAATCTAATCTATAATGGAGTACGGAAGCAGCTCAAGTTTTTATATAGAAATTAGTTTCATGTTTACTTGCTACTTTATATAATTTTACTACTTCAAAATATTTTTAAAAAGCATTTAATTTCTAAATAACCTTACTATTATTTTTAGACTTTGTGTACTTTTAATCCTATGCAATATATTGGAGAAACTAAGCAAAGCAGTTACATCCAATCGTAAATTCTTAACTGACATGGGAACTTTTAGCCAAAAAAATTAAAAAAGAAATAAAACTAACCAAGAAAAAAAGAACTGAAGTGGGTCGGGCGGATGCGGGTGGAAATGCCATGCGGGGCGGGGCGAGTTGGGTTGAAATTTTGTGGGTTTATACAGACCACACCGCACCGCACCGCTTGCCATCCCTACTAATGACCTTGAAAATGGATGGTCTTGATTTTTTGACCCCCGCTTACCCCATGGGCAAACCTTTAAGAGCAAAACTCAAAAGTATTGCCCGTAAGGCAAGCGATAGTCAAAACTTGTTAAACCATGGGGCAAGCGCGGTCAAAAAATCAAGAGTGGCACCGAAGTGTCCTATTTTTGCGAATCACGCAAGGAAAAGGAGTAAGGGCTTAGGAAGGTGACGCAACATATCTTTTTAGCCCTTAGACCAGTTCTCTCTCATTCATGCCTTCCTTCAAGGCCTATTCTTTTGGATATCTTTGTTTCCTTCTTTCCAAGAGCATCCTTTTTCCTTTGATTGACGGAACTTCTATCTTAAATCCCTTGACCTAATCTCTCCTTGACTGACCGCAGCCTGGTGTTCCCAATCTTTCTTGGAGGGTGTCGAACCAACAATAAGCCTTTCTCACCATTCCTAATATCCAAGGCAAAGGCAAAGGATCCCATTTCTTTAACGCTCCACGTAGCTCACGACCCAGCACAAAGAAATCTCTTATATAGTTGGACGGAAATGTGGATCTACCAACAGATTCCATTCCATTTGTAGTCTCAATCCTACACTCAATGAAAGTCGAAGCCCTGTCTGACCCCTCAATCTTTCTTTCCGGATTGATACAGGCGATTTTGCCACCTAATCCAGATAAAATAAAAGGTTTTGTCAGTCAGAGCCAATGGGAAAGTCTGGTCAAGAGAGGGTCTCTTTGCAATTTATGCATCTGGCACTTTGTCCTTTATGCTCCAAATCTGAATTCTGACATGCTTATCTCTGTATTGTATTCTCTGATGAAGACTTGTCTCTGATTAGTGGAAAAATCACAATCATGGAATTGTTGAATGCATAGCCTACATGTGTGTTAGATAATCTTACTGACCACTCGCTTCCTATCAACCCTTTGGGCCACATCTTTCTTAATTCATATGATAAAGCCCAGTATTTAACATCAGATATGTCAATATTCACATTTAATCTTAGGTGATTAATCAGACCAGGGGTGGAGCTAGGGGATGGAACGTTCGCTGAAAAATTACATTGTTTATATATGGTTAAATCTTTTTTTATTTGTATATATTAGATGTTGAATCCTCTTGACTTCTTTGCCTGGTTACTTTTATTTTTTGTCTCCTCTTAGTGAAAATTCCGCCTCGGTCACTGAATTAGACCTCTCTCTAGTTTAGTGAAACTAAATGAACCGCCCTGTTGTCTAATGAAACTGAGTTGACATATCCTCTAGTTCAAAAAATAGATAAACCTTGTTCATGTTTCTACACTGCTGGAATTGCTGCTACTCTGTTGTTGTGACTACCAACCTCTATGGTGCAGGTGAATTTAAGCAATGCTAACCTGGAAGGAGCACTTACAACTGGCAATACATCTTTCAAGGGGTCCAATATAGAAGGGGCAGGTAAGAGGAAACAGCAAAAGAATTTTCTTGTATAATGAAGTACACCAAGATGCCCTGGGTGGTAGTTATTGCACAAGAACGCAGTCAAGCAACTATCTAAAAAACGCAAAGAATTATGCATAATAGGAAAGAGTAGAAGAATACACTGGTTTATTAAAATCGGAGAGTTGCTGCTGTATTCGGCAAAGTTTGGAGAAATATTTATGGAATTGGACTAGCTAAGATAATATAGAGGAATAAAAACTGTGCAGTAATGTGTCAGTTTGGGTGTGGCGATTTCTCTCTGTTCCACCTTCAACATGAAATTTTTCTCAGTATCTTATTCATCTTCTGAACATTAAGTACCCATTCAATGAATTTTTACCGTGAATTTGAACACTGACATGCAAGCTGAAGAAAGTTGCTGATTCTTATCCTCAGCATTGAGTTGATTGTTTCCCAAAAGAAAGAAAAAGGTAAACTTGGTCTTCTATGGTTGAAGAATATATTCTTCAAATAAAACCAATCTGGCAGCTGTTTTATTTGACGTGCCAATGCGGATGTGTTTAACCTAAAAATGATTTTTATGGTCAAAGCAATTAAATAAATATTTCGAGTTACTAACAACTGATTTAATTCACTTTTCCAAATATGAACGATAAGAGAAAGGAACAAATATAAAAATGGAACGAATTGAAAGATGGAAAGTAATAGAAATCTTATGATGAATGTAGCCCTTCTTATGTATGAACACAAAGATGCATTCTCACCAATAGAGAGCTTAAATTGAGCAATATAATTGAGAGAAAGTAATTGAGTATTTCTCGATGATGATACAAGATATGGAAGAGTGGTTTAAATAGTACTTTCTTTCATAACTTTTGGCCTTGTTTAGCTCTTGCCCGTTACTGTCATTTATTACATTAATTGTCTGTTACGTGATTGATTTGTAACAGTTGAGGTAGTGATGGAAAATCCCGTGTAATCAGGGAATGATTGATTCTTTTCATACTCGTAGCAGTGAACGACCCCTATTTATCAGATCTGTGGTTGTGCTCTTGTATTTGACCCCGAGGCTAATAGGCACGGTAAATTTGTGTATGATGATTGATTCTTTTCATACTCGTAGCAGTGAACGACCCCTATCTATCAGATTTGTGGTTGTGCTCTTGTATTTGACCCCGAGGCTAATAGGCACGGTAAATTTGTGTACGACCTCGAAGGTATTGCACACATCTTCTGTACACGTCATTCTTCTTTGTTGTAATAACTTCAATGACATCTGTCATCACATAATAAGTCCACGTGGTGCGTCTATTTTCACTAATACAAGTAGTTCCACCCCCCCTCCCCCCCCAAACTGTGTGTTCAACTCCGCCTCTTCCCGAGATTATTATTGCGTGCTACAGAAGTGAAGAGACATGCGCTTCTTCCATTTAATGCTCGAGACACGTGTCTTGTTACGATTGGTTCTGAAGTTTGCAGCAGTTTTCCGGGCACATATGACTGTCAATTTGATATGACAGTCCTATGATGACGGTTTATGATGGCATATCTTTGCCTTATAAGAACCACAAACCCTCATAATCTTCCATCTACTTTCTTTCGTCTTTGTCTTTTTCCTAAAATCCTTCTTTGCTCTTCATTCTTGCCTTCAACTTCCTTTCTTCATATCTTCCATGGCTTCCAAATCATCTGCTTCTACTGCTCCTACTGCTTCTCCTCGTTGCATTGTTATAGTCGACGATCTTCCCTATACAGTAGCTCCGGTTAGGACTAGAAGAAGGGGAGGAAGGCTTTGTAACCTTGGTTCTATGGAAAATAGAAATAGCTCCTATTCCGTTAAAGGAAGCTGTTCAAAATTTGCTTCTTCTACCAAAGCTAGAACTTCTTCTACTTGTGGATCTTCTTACAAGGGTAAAGCAAAGGTTGATAATGAACCCTTAGTCTCTGAGATTATTCCCCAAGAGTTTAACTTTGCTGCTATTTGTGCAGAATGGAACAATAACATAAACAAATGAGAAGGTCGTAACAAGCATGTTGACCTTTATCCTTCTCTCATCAAACCTGGTCATCTTCCCCTTTTCATAGAAAGTGCCGATGAAGATCTAATTTTCCAATCTAAACTCTTGGTGATAAAGATCGAATAATCAGCTATCCTGAAGGCTATTCGTTTGTCTACACTTACTCATTTACCCTCGGGTTCGAACATGCAATAGACTCGGTGATCATCGAATTCTGTCGGCATTTCAACGTGTCCCTTGGTCAAATAGGCCCTATAGTTTAGAGGGCAGTAGCGTGCCCATGCTACTTGTCGAAATTTTACTTTTCATCATCTTCTACATCGAAAACTTTTACGTACTGGAATATTTACACTTACGACAAGGAGTAAACAGGTTGTTGTTGGTCCCGAGGATGATTACGACAGAGGGTGGTACAACAAGTTTGTGGCTGTTCTAACTCGGGAATTGGTGGGAGATGAGAACATGTCTTTCCCTGAAAAGTGGAACTTTAAACGTAAGTTTTCATCACTATCTTCAAATTTCTTTTATTTTAATTGAAACCCTAATTCTTCCATATACACGTTTTGTAGCAATCATGGAAGTTTTTGGTGAAATACTAGGATTCCGTGAGTGGGTGGCGTTGATGCTATCTTTTGCCCCCATGGATCAGAGGACTTGAATTTTTTTTTCCATGGATGGAAAGTGAAAACTCACGGTAAATCATTTTTTGTACCGTGCTTATTTTCGTGTCTATTTACTTTTCTTTTTTAACACTTTGTTTGCATATGCAACAACAACAACCTAGTGAAATCCCACAAGTGGGGCTTTGTCTATATATGCAGGATTCAGAATCCGTGGTGTCCCACTTTCTTTCGCTCCTACCATTAGACTTATGTCGACACAACTCAGGAGCGTATCTTAAGTTTGTCCTTCAAAGAGGAAAGATAGAGAAACTCTTGCCTTTGCGGAAGAAGAGGAAGAGAAGGAAGGTTCTCTCAAGAAGAGGCCTCGGACTAGGAAGCGAATAGTTTTGGAGGACGACCAGAATAATCCCCAAGCTCAACCTTTAGATACCGTGCTCTTCCATTTGGTTGATGAACCAGAAGATGTTCCGACGGCTATTACAGATGAGGAAGTTGCTGAGCCACCTCTGATACCGACCACAGACCCGATTGAAGAGTTGTTTGATCAAGGGTTCGGGGACCATGATGGTGAAGACCATCAAGTTTACCTTACCAATGAAGATCAACTTCCCGCAGCTCCAGCTTTAGTGCCTTCCGTCTCTGTTCTCTCTGGAAAAAAGGAAAATGCGGCAAGTGATGGTGGAAGTCCGGGAGAAAATATATCTTTTAAAGAGACCTGATCGGGCTTCTGTTTGGCTAAAACCTCTCATCGGACCTCTTGATAAGGAAAAGTTGAAGTCCCATTCTTCAATTACCCTTGCGAATGATATTGTTCATTCAACTCTTAGGGTATGATATACTTTCATCCTTTTCTTCTTCTTATTCTTCAACTCTTTTTTTTCTTTTACTTTTCTTATTCTCGATAAACTTAACTGGCACAGAGTTAATGAAAATGATTGCCTGGACTGAGCAACAAGTGGAAGAATTATCTACGGAGGCTCATAATTGGAGGGCATAGTTTGAAAGCCTTAAGTTGGAGAAAGGAGTCATACAAAATAAAAGAAGTTCTGCAACAGCAGCTCAAGTTGACGACCGCAGAAAGGAGTCGTACAAATTATTCGGCTCTTATCAGTGTTTTTACCATCGATTTAACCCCTACGTTATTACCACGCCGACGTTCGTGCATTTCTTGCATAACATATTCAGTTTGAACAGGACCGAGACATTTAGCCAAAGGATCACTAAACATTTTTCGATATCAATTCCCTTTCACTAAACAATAGAGAGCAGCTTGTGTGCGTAACCTTTGAGATTGTTTCTTATCCTCGGGTAATATCCCATGCTGCAAGTAATTTACAAATTTATTTCGCCAATCCCTTGTAAAACTAGTAAAATTTACCTCGCTTTTTTGTTTGATTGAGCGCTGAATGGAATAGATGCACCACTATTGCATTTTCAGAGTTAGTTATATCTGCTACCGGTCCAAGGTTTCTAATGTATCTGCTTCTGCATTTTCCTCCCTTGGAATTTGAATAGCTTTCCATTCTCGGAAATGATGTAATAACTCCCGTACCTTTTCTAGGTACTGTGCATCCGTGCCTCTCGCGCTGCATAATTCCCTAGCATTTGGTTTACCACCAGCTGAGAGTCACTTTTAATTTCGAGCTGCTCGATTCCCATTTCTCCTGCGAGTTCCAAACCTGCAACCACTGCTTCATACTCGGCTTCATTATTAGTAATAGGGTAACATTTTATCGCTTGTCTAAGATTTCTCCAGTAGATGCAAGACAATACACAAACCTGCTCCTTTTATGTTAGAGGATCCATCCGTGTATAAGATCCAAGTCCCTAGATTGGACTCCGGAAGTGACACGTACCTCTTTTTTAGCTTCGGGAATTAGGTTCGAGCTAAAATCTGCTAGTACATGTGACTTTATGGTATTACGTGGTTGATAAATAATATCATATTCACTAAGTTCTATGCCCATTTAGTTAATCTTCCTGATAACTCATGCTTATGTAAAATATTGTGCAATGGAAAAGTCGTTATAACATAGATTGGGTGACATTGAAAATAAGGTCGTAATTGTCCTTATTCCATTATTAATGCCAAGGCTAATTTTTCTAGGTGCGAATATCTTGTCTCAACTTCTAACAATGCTTTACTAACATAATAGATAGGGAATTGCGTGCCTTTTTCTTTTCTAACCAAAACTACATTCACTGAAACTTCAGATACGGCAAGGTAAACAGGCAACTTTTTCCCCCTCTTTCGGCTTTGAGAGCGAAGGTGGTTTTGATAGATAAGCTTTTAAATCCTTCAATGCTTGTTGACATTCATCTGTCCCTCAAACTTGTTTTGCTTTTTCAGCAGTAAGAAAAACCTAAAGAATCTTTTAGAGGACCTAGATATAAATCTTGCCAAAGCTGTTATTCTTCATGTTAGACTTTGTACTTCTTTTTTGCTTGTAAGTACATTCCGAATTTCTTCAAAAACTTTGATTTGCGCTGGATTTACTTCGACTCCCTATTAGAAAAAGGAAAACCTAAAAATTTACCTGATGCGACGCCAAATACACTTTTCTCTAGGTTCAACTTCATGTTGTATCTTCGAAGAATTGCAAATGCTTCTTTCAAATGCTCGAGATGATGTTGATTTTACCAGCATCTCATTAATGTATACCTCCATAGTTTTCCTTAAATGCTGTTGGAACATTTTGGTCACCAATCTTTGATATGTGGCTCCAGCGTTTTTTAGTCCAAAGTGCATGACCTTGTAACAGTAAGACCCCCTATCCGTAATGAAGGGAGTTTTTTCCTCGTCTTCGGGATACATTTTAATTTGATTATATCCAGAATAAGCATCTAAAAAACTCAAACCGGCAGTAGAGTCAATTAATTGATCAATATGTGGCAAAGAAAAACAATCTCTAGGGCATGCTTTGTTCAAATCAGTATAATCTACATCCATTTAGCATTTTTTTTTGGTACGACAACAGTATTTGCTAACCAATCAGGATATTTAACTTCGCGTATAGACCTGATTTTTAATAGCTTACTTACCACTTCTTTTATCACCTGCTTCTTGAAAGCGCCTTGTTTTCTCTTCTTTTGCTTTACCGGAGGATGTAATGGGTTCTCATTAAGTTTGTGAGTCATTACCTCCGGTGGGATATCTGTCATATTTGAATGCGACCAAGTAAAGCAATCAGAGTTAGCTTGTAAAAATTCGATTAACTTACGTTTTAGCTTCAGGCTGAGATTTGTTCCAATGTAGACTTTTCTCTTGGGCCAGTGATCGAATAAGATAACAGATTCGAGCTCCTCTGATGTTATTTTAATTATGTCATTCTCTTCTGGTTCCTTGATCACATCTGGCCTCCCGTCTGTATCTACTTCACTTCCCGTGCCTGATATCGTGGCTGCTGAGGGCTCAGTTGTCTCCTTAGCTTGATGTTGTAATTTCTATTTTACCTTGTCAGTATTGGTTAAGATGCTAGCAATAGCCACCGAATTTGTTTCTCGGGTTGCTCGTTGATCTCCCCTAATCTGTTGAATTCCCCATTGTGATGGAAATTTAATAACTTGATGCAACGTTCAAAGTACCGCATCCATATCATGAATCCACGGTCTTCCTAAAATTATGTTATAAGCCATGTCGGCTTCCACCACTTGAAAATTAGTGTTCTTTACCACTCATGTTGCGAAAGTGTTAGAAAATTTGGGAGAGTAAGACAACACAAAAGAACACTCAACACTCACAAATAAGAAAGTTGAGGAAAGGAGATTTCTATTCAACTTGACTTGCTCCAAATGGCTAGGAATACATTGCCATTTATAGGAAAAATCTTTCATGTATCTAGCCTACACTACATGTAAACATAATAACTAAGTCTACACCTCACATCTTTCAAGGTACATGGATAACACTACTAGACATTATATCTTTCAAAGTACATCAATGTGAACATACTCTAATACATGTACTAAATTAATGTTCTAGTTCATGAACTAATGTAAACAAATGGAAACAAGTTTACATTGTCCACATTTCAACATCCCCCTTAAACTTGTTTCATCACTCCAAGAGCCATCCTTAGCTTTTGAAAGAGCTCAATCTTCAACGGCTTGGTGAAAATATCCGCAATTTTCACTACTTTGGTAATTACACTTGAATTGTCGAATGAGGATAGACATCGGGCCTTTGGTATGATTCGATCCACTACTTGCATTTCTTCGACCACTCATAGCAGTATGATGTTTACTGAGCTACCTGGATCAATCAAAATTCGATTTACATTAGTGTCATGAACAAGTAAGGAAATTACTAACGCATCATTGTGTGGTATGAACAAGCCATCTGCATTCTCGTTGTTAAATGTTATGCTTTCTCCCGTTAGGACTTGCCGAATACATTTCTCATGTGTTACAAATACCTTAGCTGTCATTTTTGCCGCCGTATACATTACCCCCATTGACTTCTTCGCCCCCGGTTATGACATTTACTGTCCTCTTCGGTGATGGTGGTTTGGGTGGTTCCTCCCTGTTCTTCATGTAAGCCTGTTTATTTGTCACTGAATAAGTTAGTGAGATAATCTTTTTTAAGAAGATAACTGACTTCACTTTGCAAAAGCCTGCAATCCTTTGATCTATGACCATAATCATTATGGAATACACACCAAAATTTCTGACTCTTTTTACTAGGATCCGACCTCATTTCTTTTGATCACCGTACCTTATCTCCCATATTTCTTAGTACCGATGATAATTCAGATGTACTTATATATTGAAATTGTAATCTACTAATTTCTGTCTGGGACTGTGGTCATTGTATCTCGTTGCTTGTAGTTCTTTTCCAGCGCGTAAGGGAGAATTTACACCTCTCTGTCTTGACCTTTGATTAGACTGTACCTGTTCTGATTTTTGTGCGTGATCTCGCATTGCATGTCCCATATAAGGCTCGTACCTATTTTTTGAACTTCTTCGCTTAGACTCTGACCTTCTAGCATTGCATTCGATAGACTCCCGAACCTATCCTCCTTATTTTGGCTGAACCACCGTATTTTCCTCTATTTGAAGCTTCGTGTTGTACCTGTTGTAAACGTCGTTCCAGGTGGTTGGTGAGAATTCTCGTATTCAATCTTCTCGTAGTTTCTGAACTCCTTTCATTCAGGATTCTTGCAAAAGCTATTGCTACCCAATTATCAGGTATAAGAGGTAATAACATTCTTTCCGCGGGAAGCGATCCACAAATTCCCCGAGTAATTCTGTGCTTCCTTGCTGTATTTTAAAGATATCCTCCATACATTTCTCCACTTTTTGGGCTCCAGAATGTGCTTTAATAAATGCATCTGCAAGCTCAGCAAATGAATCAATTGAATTTTCAGATAAAAGAAAATACCATGTTAATGCCCCTTTCGTGAGGGTTTCGCCATACATTTCACCAGCATTGACTCTATTTCCTGCTTAGTCAAATCATTGCCTTTGACTCATGTTGAGAATGCTGTCACATGATCTCATGGGTCGGAAGTTGCATCATACTTAGGAATATTTGGCATTTTAAACTTCTTTGGTATTGGTAATGGAGCTGCACTAGGTTTTCACGGTTATTGCGAATATTTGTCCATATTTACGCCTTTGATTACTGGTGATACACCCGATATTTGCTTTATTCGTTCATTCTTCTCCTTGAGTTGTTTCTGCAAGGTTAAAACTAGATTTTATAAATCACTATTACCTGGCGTAGCTGAACCTCCAGCCCCAGAGCTATTTGTATTTTTCCTACTCCCAAAATTTTCAAGCCATGAATTGGGGTTTTCCATGGTTGTGTTAACTGGTGGTAGTGCTAGATTTGCTGTCGTTGCATTGCTTGCCAAAGTTCTTAATGCCTCTCTAATCTGTTGAGCGATAAATTGCTTCAATTCATCCTACAAACCCGATTGTTCTTCATTTCACTGCTCAGTACTACAATTAGCAGATTCGACAGGTGAATTATCACGTGAATGTTGTGGAAAATGCGTGGGTGAAGTCCTTGGAGGTGTTCCCCCTTGTTCATTCCCCTGCTGAATGACTTGATCAGTTCCAGACACAATTTGTTATTAGGAGAAGAGAAATTATAAATGGAAAACTGAACGATTGTTAGATTTCCGGTAACAGAACCAAACTGTTTAACCTAAAAATGATTTTTGTGGTCAAAGTAATTAAATAAATATTTCGGGTTACTACCAACCGATCTAATTCACTTTTCCAAATATTAACGATAAGAGAAAGGGACAAATATAAAAAAAAGAACAAATTGAAAGATGGAAAGTAATAGAAATCTTATCGATGAATGTAGCCCTTCTTCTGTTTGATCGCAAAGATGCTTTTTCAACAATAGAGAGCTTAAATTGAGCAATATAATTGAGAGAGTAATTGAGTATTTCTCTATGATGATACAAGATATAGAAGGTGGTTTAAATAGTACTTTCATTCGTAACTGTTTGCCTTGTTTAGCTCCTGCCCGTTACTGTCATTTATTGCATTAATTGTCCGTTACATGATTGATTTGTTGAGGTAGTGATGGCAAATCCCGTGTAATCAGGGATTGACTGATTCGTTCCATACTCGTAACCGTTAGTGATCCCTTTTTATCAGATCCATGGTTGTGCCCTTGTGTTTGACTCCGAGGCGAATAGGTACGGTAAATTTGTGTACCACCCCGAGGTATTGCATACTTCTTCTGTACACGTCATTTTTCTTTGTCGTACTAACTTCAATGACATATGTCGTCACAGAATAGGTCCACGCGGCGAGTCTATTTTCCGGCTAAATACAGGATGCTCTTATACTAGTATTGGTTCCCTGTTACTGATAGTGTATTTCGGATACAGAACCCTTTTGTTGGTTATTCACTTTCTATATATTCTTAAAAGGAATGAACAACAAAGTTGAATGTAGAGCTGATGAAAATGGTCAGCACCGTACCTTTACTTGCATGCTTGGTGTAGATGAAAATGAATTTATAGAAAACTTTGAAGGAATACTATGACAAAGATATCGTGTGCACTGTTAAATTTGCTGTAAACATCCTATGGGATTACTATTTATTGGTTATTCATACTGATTCCTTGATCTTCCTCGTATATGTTCAGACTTCACGGATGTTCCTTTAAGAGACGATCAACGGGAATACCTTTGCAAGATTGCTGACGGGTAAGAGGTTCCTTTCAAAGTCTTTATGTTTACAGTATCTCGCTCCAGTTCCATACTTTCCATAGTCACAACATTATTCGTCTGCAGGGTGAATCCAGTAACCGGTAATGCAACACGAGACACATTGTTCTGCAAATAGCCTGCAGATTTCAGAATCTAGTAGAGTAAGCTGTTAATCATTCATGGATCAATTACTCCCTATTTATTCCTATATATGATTCTGGCTTTTGAACCTCATGGTTTCACATAAAACATCAAAGTTACCTCTTATCGGGTATTCTCCTCTTCCAGCATTGCCTCGATTATGAATGTGGTAACTGGTATTTACATATCAAATTGTTGCATTCGTAGTTTTACATCTTAAACCAGCTAATTAACCCCCGTACTTCTGGTTGTGATTAATAAATAAGTACTTAACACACTTGAGATAAATAAATTGAAACCTACTTTCAGTTTTCCTCGCCAAATATAATATGCTGAGTACTAGTTCCAATGGCCTGATATATTACTTTATCCAATTATCTCGGCATCTCATACATTATTAACTCATCAGAACTTCGATTAGTATAATTATGTTTTCATTATTTGATTAATGTAGGATTCCTCCCCATTTCTATCTACAGACTGTTTCTTCCAACTCAAAGGAAATGTCTCTTTTGACTTTTTGCAGAGATTAAAAAATGGTTCGTATTTGTTCGTAAGATGATTTTTTTAGATAAATAAACAAAAATATAACGGGCAAAGTGCACTAGTAGCCACTTTTAAGTACTTTTAAGTCTGTTATTTAAAATATATTCACAATTTATAATGTATTTAAAGATTAGTCAATTCACCCAAACTTCAGGACTAATAGCCTGTTTGGCCAAGTTGGAGAAATCGGCTTATTTTGAGAAGTGCTTTTGAAAAAACTACTTTTGGAGAGAAGCAGTTTGTGTTTGGCTAATCACTCTGAAAAGCACTTTTGAGCAATAATTTGTGTTTGGCCAAGCTTTTCAGAAAGTGCTTTTAAGTATCAAATTACGAATAAGGACATGGATAGATTTATTTAATAGTTAATATTATAAGTAAATAAATAATCTCAAAAATTTGTTATTACAAGCAATAATTAAATCTTTTTATTTTATTTAAGTACAATATGAAAATAAAATCTAAAAGTACTTAATTATTTTAATATAAGTTAAATATATTAAAAATCATTCAACAAATATAAAAGCATTCACCTCTAAAGTCACTATATATTAGAAAGCTATCCTAAAAATGATAAGAAATATTTATACCTTAATATCCTAAGTATTAGGTTTGACGGTTATTTTAGTATATACTATATTTTGTTAAGGGTGTTTTTGGTAAGAAGAAAAGTTAAAACTGCTTCTGCTTCTGCTTTTGGAAAGAAGTTATTTTTTTCTGTTACTCAGAAACTGCTTCTGCTAAAAAAAGCTTGGCCAAACACCTCAAGTTAGGAAAAAAAGTGCTTTTGGGAAAAAAATCACTTCTGGCCTTTTGAGAAGCTTGGCAAAACAGGCTATAAGTATCCTTAATTTTTGTATCCTAAATTTTTGAACTGCTAATTTGAAATTTAAGACTTAGTATCGTCAAGAGCAAATTGATTAATCTTTAAATATATTGTAAACTGTGGATATATTTAAATAGTATGCTTAAAAATGGCTACTTGGTATCATTTTCAGAAATATAACGGAGATGATTACAAAGTTCATGTCCCTGTCCAAGAGTCACTGTGGGCTTTACTAAATTATCTCCTAGGGAGAAGGGTAAAATTCATAAATAGCCGGTTTTAGATATTGTAATTGAAAAATAATCATAGGTTTAAAAATCGTCGAAAACTAGCCACCTTTTAACACGAAAATAAAATTTAGATAAAAGTACCCTCAACTTAATAAAGCATGCCCCTACTTAGAAAAGCGCAGAGACATATAATTCCAGGTAATTATTTTGGAGTTCAAGCTTCTATACATTAAATTCCTGAACACTATAATGGGGGTCAAGCTTCCCAACATCAGCACAATATACCGGATATCGGGTTTTCTTGGTTGAACTCCAGCAGATTGTGCTGATATTCCATGAAAAAAGTAGCAGAACTGGCACGAGACTTAAATTAAAAAGAAGAAAAAAATGAAGAATAATGTCATGGTTTCCTTACTGGTACATAATGCTTCGAGGCATCTTGCAACAACAAATTCTTTTCTTACTCTTTGTATACGGTCGAAATCGGGCATGTCAGATATCATAGGCACGGGGAGCTGCCCCGAGAGTAAGCTCGTAATAAACCAGGCTCGAGCTCAATGGCAAAGTACGGAGCACGAAGATCGAAGTGCTTGCTGAAGATCGAGACCGAGCATGACCGACTTCGAGTAAGGCATAATAATGGAAAGGCGAGATATTAGCAACCGACCGAAGATCTCGGCGAAAATTTCGGAACATATCAAATCAAGTGGTTATTGACGTCAATCATGGGAATTGTTTTCGTTATTAGAATTGTACCTTATTTAGGATTCCTCCCCTATATATAGAGGGACCCTATTCATTTGTAAGGGGATTGATTCACTGATAAAGATATACAAAAATGCTGCTCTCAATTTTACTTACTATCCATTACTGTTCATCATTGTTTATCTTCTGCTCTTTACTGTTCTTCTTACCCAACCTCGAGACCATCTCGAATCGAGGTCGAAAGCGCTGCTAGAACACTGGTTTGATTTATTTTACTATTTAGATTATTTATTCAATTCCTTATTTGTCAATTGGTATTGGATTAAATCACGTATCCTTAAAATCACTAAATAAGTTTAATTGTTAATCGAATTTTAAGGTAAAACTCTTATTGTAGAACAATAAGTTATTTAAAACTTTACGCGCCTCCTCTGCTTCTAATGAGTGAAACAGTGGTGCTCGGACAGTGACCACTGGAGAATCGAGGTTTTTGGTAGAGATCTGTGGTGGTGGAAGGCTAAAATAATTGAAAGGAAATAATGACTATCAGTTAAGTGGTCGGCTAGTTAAGGGGTTGGGGTCAATCGGAGTAGCAGGTCACAAGAAGATAAAGACGTAACTGGATTTCGAAATTTTTTACAGTGAAACTCCGTGATATTTTACTGGGTTTTACTTTGTAAAAAATTAAAACTCCAACACCGTATTTTTAGCTAGGGATATTTTAGTCAAGATTTTATTTTCACATTAAAAATAGCTAAGTTTAAATTACACATGAATTCGTGGTTATTTTTTAATTACAAGTCCTAGAAGTGGCTACGTCGTGCTATTTTTACCAGGGACAACAACAACAACAACAACAATCCAGTATAATTTTACTAGTGAGGTCTGGGGAGGGTAGTGTGTACGCAGACCTTACCCCTTGAGGTCTGGGGAGGGTAGTGTGTACGCAGACCTTACCCCTACCCTAGGGTAGAGAGGCTGTTTCCGATAGACCCTCGGCTCCCTCCCTCCAAGAACTCCCCACTTTGCTCTTGGGGTGACTCGAACTCACAACCTCTTGGTTGGAAGTGGAGGGTGCTCACCACTAGAGCAACCCACATTTTACTAGGGAGGATGACAGAAATAAGACACTTCAGTGCCACTATTGATTTTTTGACACCAGTAATTGAAATTTGGAAAAATAGCCCCCCTTCCCCCTCTAGAATATTAAAGTTTGCTCGTCAGGAATTTTTCTCGATGCCAGAATTTTAAAGCGCGCTGCAAATCACCAAATTTTTCAGCATTGTGGCTGAAATTTTGGTGATCGTCATAATTTATGGCACTTCAAAATTTTGGCGGTGCTTTAAATTTCTAGCAGGCGTATTTTTAAATTTTAACGCGGGCTATTTTTCCAAAACTTTTCTTACTGAGGTGAAAATATAAACACTGATTTTAAAAAGATCCATCCAAATAAAATTTTTAGTATCTCCTAACCATGATATGGATGTAGTGGACCATTACAACCTAAAGAGTTTTTGACACAGTTGGCTGCTCAGCCAAAAAGTCACTGCTCGCAATTTCACAATATAACTTGTAACAAAAAAATACACTCCGTTTTAATTTATGTGCACCTATTTGAATAAGCACGGAGTTTAAGAAAAGAGAGAAGACTTTTGAATTTGTGGTGTAAAATGAGGCACATATATTTTGTGTGGTTATAAATCGTTGCATAAAGGTAAATTGTTTTCAAATAAGAAAATGAGTCATTCTTTTTGACACGGACTAAAAAGGAAATAAGTTCACATAAATTGAAACGGAGGGAGTAATAAATATCCTAACAAATAAAATTAGATCTGCGGCGCGCCCCTCCTTCCTTAACCGCCTAGACTGAAAAATTGCACTCGTTCCTCTTCTTCCCAACTTATCTCTTTCACCATAGCTCCACATTTTCCCTATTGTTCATCATTTTTCTTAATCTTTTTCCCCATTTATCTCCTTCACCACAGTTCTACCTCTTTTATGTCCTTCACTATTTTTTCCAATCCATTTTTCACCGTAGCTCCACCACCTTGACTCACCATCTCTACCTTTCTCTTCATCATCACAAAACCAATAGCCTCCTTTATTTCTCATCCGCTCACATTCTTCCTTCACAAAAACTCATCAATCTTCAACAATTAGTGAAACACCACAGTTTATAAACATCTACCAGTAAACCTTCATCCAACCACCATTAAAAATATATATATAAATGAGGGCCTAGAGAAGGTGACTTGGCACTTCTCACGGATGAGGAAATGTATTTTTCTATTATCTCCCTTTTTTAGATTTTTTCCACTTATTATACAATAATCAATTAGTATTATTAAATAAAAAGTCACCTTTTCTGCCTATTCAGTTACTTGTACTTACGTTAAGACCAATAAACGCCGTTTCAGAATCGATAAGCTAAAACTTCCGATTTTTTAGAGGTAAACTCGGTATAAACAAAATGACTGCAAAGTCACGTCTCTTAGCCACCATTTTAGACTCTAAATGAACTCTCACAGGCGTTCGGATGCATGTTCCGCAACTTTGCCTACACCAACAAACATTGATCTTTACCTCCAAGAAGATTCTGTAATAACTTATTTCTATTTTGCTATTCACTTTCAAATATATATTTGTTTATCCGAAAAATTAGATAACGTTAAATTTGTGTATGGTTCTAAGGATATGCGATATAATTTGATACAAATCGAAATAGAAATATGAGTGTTCTTGGCTATGAGAATGAGAATAGTGAGCAAAAGAATGAATAAGGTAAAAATAAACAAGCATCAGGTGATATCTTTCAATATGAGAAGTGATCTTTTGTTACAGTGTATTCTCCATCCCTGCTTACAAGGATTCCCCCGTTTATAATAAATGGATCCTCCTTTGTTCATAATAAAATAAAGCATATAGTGGAAGACCCATGATGAATTATCTCTTCCTCGATTCCCCTCAAGATTCTCTCCCTTAGTGCGGTTGTAACGGCTCTTGTCTGTGAGCTCGATACTGGCTCGAACTCGTTATTAGGTCGAGCCCTCGATTTTGGCTTGAGTTCGACCTTCGGAATGGGCGTAGCGCATTTCCGACCTCGAAGCAATGCCTTGCGGATCGATTTGGTCATGGGCTCGATAAAAGTATCGAGCTGACTCCTCGACCAGCCTTCGGACTCGAAGCTCGTTTGTACTGTCTTCGAAACTCATCCCGAAACCCTACTCCGGTTGCTTACCATTCGAACTCGACCGAACGTAGGAATGCCAAAATTTGTTTCGACCGTATACAGATAGTCCCCTCGTTTCTCAGAAAGAATGTGGTGAGAAACGATATGATTTTTTAATGGCTCGATCGGATTGTAACCTGACGTTTCCATCGGGTTCGACCATGACGCATGTGATAGCTATTCTGTCGATTTAGTCTTTCAAGACATTTAATGCATATCAGGCGGTGGTCGGCCACTGCTGATACTGAACCGCCATCGCTTGAACCTATAAATAACCCTTCCTTTTGTCATTTACCACTTTTACAACTTCTATCTTCCAAATTTCCCAAGTCTTTTTTCGTATTCTCTAACTTACCTGTAAATCTGTGATTTCTTTTTGCAAAAGCCCCTTTTCAATTCTATCAAATCTTTGTCAATTTCCTCTATTCCTCACCCCTGAATTCAAAAATGGAGAAAACGTCACAAACCATTCCTTAGAAGGAGAAGGCTTTATCTTCACAATGTGCCGCCGATGATACACCGACAGAACCACGGCCTGAGGAGTGCGTTCCCAGGGCGTGCGTCCTTACTTCTGATTTTAAGGTAGATAAAGGCTCATCGGTCCCTGGCCGATGTGTACCAGTATCGGGGTACATATGTTCGATAACCGAGAAGCATCTCCAACAACTAAAGAAAGATTGTAATTGGGATAAAAAAGAAATAATGATTCCTTCTTCTGACAAAGATGTCACTTCTTACGTGAAAGGGTTTTTGAATGTGTATACTTACCCTTTCACGCTAAGTCCCCTCGATTCCGTTATCATCGACTTCTGTCATCAATACCAAATAACCCTAGGCCAGGTCCATCCTTCTTTTTGGCGGATCGTTATCCTGATCCGATATTTCGTGAGCAAAATCGAGGGGATGCCGTTCACCCTCGACCATCTTATCCGATTATATCGTCCTCAAAAATTTTGAGGAGGGTTAATAAAACTTCAGCGTCGGGCTTCCAAGGCTTTGTTCTCGAGTATTGACGAGGACAGGGATAGGGGTTGGATGGGCAGGTTCGTTCGAGTGAGGACTTCGGACCTGATTCCGACCGAAAAGATGCCCTTTCCCGAGGAGTGGAATATGAAACGTAAGTGTGATCCTGTTGTTGTTTCTATTTTGTTCTTTCTTTTCTCATCGACACTTTTCTTTTTGTGATGTAACGGTTCCTTGGATGCCCGGAGTAGTTCCCGATCTCAAGAACTGGGTACGAGCTCTTGTCTCGACCTCCACATGGCGTGATTTGTCAAAGGGTCGGTGGGAGGCCAAAAATCATGGTAAGCCCCTTTCTCGTACTCTTTGATAGTTTGAATGAGGTAGTTTATGAATATCTTAACAAAATTTTCCATATGCAGGTATGGGTAAAGATGCGATTTTGAGGCCCTCGTCCAACGAGGAAAAAACTTCGGCCTCTATCCCAAAGCCGGTGAAGGAAAATAAAAGGAAAAGATCCATTGTTCCCGAAGATCCAAAATCGAAGAAGAGGACGGCTCGTAAGTCGAACAAGAAAGCCATTCCTTTGATCGTGGAATCAGTTCTGCGTCTAAGGGATGAAGATGAAGAAGAAGAAGAAAATGATGGGTCCGCGCTGGCGGCCCGCACGAAGAGAACCACTGATGCCCCATCGGCTGCTAGATCGATGGCGCTTAATGAGGCTCCGCCTCGAACTGAGGATATACCGAAGAGAAATTCGGGTGGAATCCATGAATTATCGGAGATTGAAGATTCATCACATTGAAGCCAACGGATGGGGGATATGTATGAAAGGGCCCTCGAATCCCTTTGAACCGAAGAGAATGCTCCAAGTGATTCTTTTGGGGCAGCAGCAATCGAAGATTCGCCCACTTTTCCCGTTTTTTCCGAAGGGGTGATTCGGGAATCTCAAGCTCTAGGGGACCTCGA